GAGATGTAAATTCCAATAGTGTGGTGAAGCAGGTCTTGAAGGAACCTCAAATTACAGGAACACATACCACGAGTTAGGTGTCCTACGGGTAGTGTAGCTTGCAAATGGAGGCACAGCACAAGCAAGGCAGCTGCACACTGGTCCGATGATCAAAAAGCAAGAGACAAGAGAGGCAAGGCTCACCGAGCCATTTATCTCTCCGTCCTTCGATTAATCCCACATGTGTTCATTGGCCATGTTGGCAGGATAAACGCTAACTATCTCAAAAGGGGACTCCAAAGAATGTGAAAATTATGGAACAATAACCTGAATATCACATGCAAAGAAAATTTTATGGAAGATCATTTAAAAATACTTGACACAGCTCATAGAGAGAGAGATGTCAGAAATTCAAGCTGGACTCAGAAGATGACATGATATGAGTGATTGTATTGCTGATGTTGTTGAACTGTTCTGTTGTGTCCAGGGCTGTTGGTCTTGTGAACCAAAGAATGGACTCACAGGCCATAAATGGCAAGCAGAAAGCAGTTTATTTGGAATGAAAAGTGCCTGACACACCAGGTGGGGATTCCAGTGAGTCACCGCTGAATGAACGGTGTCTAGGGGCTTTTATCAAACGTCAGGTACTTGGCCTGTCTATGTCTCCAAGTTACAAACAGACCAATTCTGGTCCTGGTGCTATTTCTCAGATTCATTCATAAACCTGGTCATGCTCTCCCCATGGCTGGGATGTGCACAGGCATGGACAGGGCAAGCATGGGCTGAGTCACCAAAAAGAGTCTTGGGTTTGTGGATGTGGTAGTTATACAATGTCATGTCAACTTGATAAATAAGAATGAAGGGGTGGACTGTCAATCACCTGTCAATCAGCTCACAGCCTGGTGACCTTCCCATGAGGATTCTGGGACTTCTTCTCTTCCTCCCTGGAGGTGGGACACCCTCTCTCTCTGCTTCACCTTCCTGTTGACAAACCACATGGAGTCATGCTGATGGCAGCCACAACCATAGATATGTGTCCACTGCCATTGGACCCACAGAACTTTGGACCACCAGGACTTTCCACTCATCAGCCTGATATCTTCCTGTAGCCAGCATCATTGCATGTGTTGCATGAGTCTGCAGAAAAATTCATGGTCTAATCCACCTATGGGCTAATATCAAATTTTTGGACTTGATCTGGGGTGGGCTGGGAGGCGTTTTGGTACATAATCACTTCTTGATATATAGTTCTCTCTTACATTTATGAGTGTCACTAGATTTGTTTCTCTAGTCAATCCACACTAACACCATGGACTTCAGAGTTTAGAATCAGCCTAGGGGTGTGATGCCTGCAGGCTTAAGATTTAAATTGTCCTAGGCTGTTGAAATCACCCCTCCAGAGATGCTGCTGCTCCCAATGCTGCCTGCACACCCTTCCTGGTCAATAAAACACAAGTAAACATCCTTCTGGTATTCTCTGTTTTGAGTTAAGACCCAACTGACATTGAGAAATAGGAGTTGGAGAACCAGTAGGTAGACTGTGGCTGTCAAGAACAAGGTTTGTCATCAATCAACATTTCACCATTTTTGAAATGAGAAAGCCACTCGTACCCTTGAGTTTTTCCCATTGCGCTGGCCTTGTAAGCTGAGTCTGTAATATGTTGGGCTACTAACCACAAGGGCAGTATTTTGAAAACTCCAGTGGCTCTTCTAGAAAAAGATGAGGATGTCTGCTCTCTTAAAGAATTACAGTCCCTGAAATCCACTGGAGGCAGCTCCACCCTGTCCTATTGAGGCAAGCTGACCAAAGTGATGTGTCTTGTTAATTGCTGAATGCCCTCTTTCCCCCACCTCCCACCCATTTCACAAATTCCCGCTAGTGATTGGTTTTAGAAGGCCCTCTTATGTCGCCAACATCAGGACATTGTAATTAATCTGGTTATTATTCAATATTGTTCCTTTTGCTGGTATAATCCAAATGTGGTGAGTAATTTTGTTATTCTTTAATATTTTTCCTTTTTGATGTTATAATCAATCCTGTCCCTTGCAACGCTCACTTACTCTAAAGAATAATAACATTAATTTTGCTTTCTGCTTTTGTCATACCAGATCGCTTTATAGGAAAGTTCCTGATAAATGGGTGTTTGCCTATATAAGTTGGCTATTATCTCCACTTAGGACTGCACTCTAAAGAATTGCTTTTAGATTCACTCAGTCCAGTTACAACCAAATAAAAGACTCTTCTATATTGCAAGACATGATAGTGGCTGTCATTTATTTGAACCTGCACCAGCATACCGTTGCTATGAGTTGGCAGGGAGATAGGGTCCCTTTATCCCCTCAGATTTCTGGAATTATGACTCCTTCTTGCCCCACCCTCTAACTCACCTCCATCCATAAATGAAGGCCTAATTAGTGAGTTACATTCTCTCTTCCCTCTACATGGGGAAATAGGGTAGGATGGAACAGTGGGTCAACTCCTGGCAGTTTCTTCTAAGGTGATTTGGATACTGATGTATTCACTGTGCATGCTTGGGATCCTTTTTTGTAGAAATGTCTTGGAATGAAGTGCTGAGCTAGGTATTAGATTTAGATAATAGAAGGTTGGGTCACTGAGTACCAGACAGGTTTTAGGGTGAGTCATAAAAAGAGGGATATTGCTCTCTGGGTTTCATAAAGGGGGAATGAGAAAGGGAAGGGAAGGGCAATTTAGGCTAATGGAAGTTTTAGTGGAGAGTGTACAGAGTATTCCTAAGAATAGAATTAAGAGAGAGTAGGTGGAAAACAATCCATGGACTGCTGCAAGGAATGCAAATAGTCCCTATGAGTAGTCATTGCAGGGGTAGTGGAAACAGTTCAATAGTAGTGCAGTGTGGTAGTTACTCAATTTCATGTCAACTTGATAAATAAGAATGAAGGGGTGGAGTCTAGCCTGTGAATCAGGTCACAGCCTGGTGATCCCTCCTTGTGAGCGTGTCCTTCTCATGAGGATTCTGGAACTTCCTCTCTTCCTCCCTGGAGGTGGACACACACTCTCTCTGTTTCACATTCCTTTTGACAAGCCACATGGAGCCACGCTGATGGCAGCCAGAGCCTTGGAGCCATTGGACCCACAGGACTTTCCATCCACTGGCCTGTGATCTCCCTGCATTTGGCATCGTTGCATGTGTTGCATGAGTCTGCAGAGGAATTCATGGGCTAATATTGAACTTATGGGCTAATATAAGTTTTATGGAGTTGACATGGACTGGGCTGTTTTCTCAATATTCAATTGCTCTTGTATATAAAACTCTTTCTCATACACCTATGAGTCTCCTTGGATTTGTTTCTCTACTCTACCTGGACTGACACACCGGCCAACTGACCTTGGGAAAGCAATTTAATTTCTCTGGGTCTTAGTGTTCTTGTGTCTCAATATATATATATAAATTATATATATGTATGTATACATATATATATACACACATATATAAAGATTAAACTCCTTTGATGACTTTTTCTGACACAGGCTTAATCAGTGACATCAGAACTATAAATCATCCGAGGCAATACACTGCAGATGGATGTTTGGAAATGGAAAGAAAGGCCACCGCACTAGTGACCCGCATTGTTCCTTTACACACATTAGTTGGTGCATTATTAAGTACAATATACTGAAGATAACAGGTCATGCCAATGTACTTCATAGTTTACTATGCATATTTATCTGTGTTTCCAGACTCTATAGTCATGTGAAATACTGATCTCATTGAGTTGCTCTGAGGATTAAAAATAAATTAATTCATGAAAAGTACTTAGCACAGGGAGTGGCCTTTGTCCCCTAAATTCATTGTTACTTATGTTAAAAAGAATCAAAAGTCAGTCAAAGAAATAAGCCTAAAGTTTATTAGGAGAAGTTATTTTATATTGGCACAAGGAGACCATGCTGATCACAGAAACTATTATGAGTGTCTTGCAGTTTGCTAGTTTCCACTAATTTTATAAAAAGGACTAGAAGATCAACCATTGGCTAATCTAAACAAGATGGCTTGAGCCCAGCCCTTCCCCTTTCACTGAGATAAACTGATAACAATGACAGTGTGGTTTCTAGCCCTCCACCCATCTTGAGGCAGGCCCTTTGAAATTCAAATTTAATTTGAAAATTTTGCCTCCACCCCGCTCCCCCTTCCCTTCCCCACACAAAAAGAAAACACTGCTGGCAAAATTAATTTTGGTCAAGTATTTCTTTACAGTGAATATTTGACTTCTTGGTCAAGAAAACCTTAAAATCCAAGTAAGATGTCTGTTTTTACTTTTTCCCCATGACGTTATTGGAATAAATTTAGGAATAGAATTGACCAAAGAAGGAAGGTGCTAATGGGAGAGGTGCCAATTTACATGGGACAACTGTTTGAATGGTGTTGTGTCACTGAGATGTGCAATATAAAAGGACTGTCTTCTAGTCTTGGGTAGTGTGAGATTCATTCATTATTTGCCCACTTGTGTGCCCTTCCCTCAGCTAGCAGACTGTAACTTTCACTCCTGCACTTTTTGATAGTTCAAGATCATCCACTCTGTCAAGTGTTGAAGATGCAAGTCACAGGGCAGACGTCGACCGTTGTCTTCATAGAATTTGCATGTGACGAGTTTAAATGCCCGGGGTACAAGTAGTCGGCATTTTGTTCAGGTGAGTTGTAGCACAGTAACCAACTCATCAGTTTACGTATGCTTAAGCGGAAAGGAAGCAAAGGTTGCACAGTCGGCAGTGGAATTATAAACAGGCAGGGCGGGAAAAGGGGAGAAATGGACGACACGTACAAGAGAAGGGACCGAAAACGCTATGCATCGTGGATTGCAGACAAGGAGAGGTGAATAAAATCCCGGTGCACGGGGAGAGAAAGTCCACCAACACGGTCCGGCGGGTCTCGATTCTCCGGGAATCGCCCGGGTCCCGGCCTGCGTCTGCTCTCGGAGCCAATGGCAGCGCTGCGTGGTGACGTAGCGGGAGGCGGGACTTCCGTTCCCGGGGACCACTTTCCTGGCTGGTTGGGGAAGAGGCGGCTGCAGTCTAAGCTGACAGGTGAGGTGCTGCCCTCCGCACGCGGGGCGCCCTTGGCGGGGGAAGGCGGATTGTGCAGCCTGCTCCAGCAGGGGCCTTTCCTTGTGTTTCCTCGCGGCGTCAGCGCTGCCCCTGGCCAGGTGACCCAGGGCAGCGTAAAGAACGGCGCTGCACCAGCGGGGGGTCGGATCCCGCCTTGGCTGGACGCCCTCTGGGCTACTGGCAGCCCCTCCCCTTAGGGCTTCATCGTTTGTTGGTACCTGGCTTGTGTGGTCTCGTGGGGGCCCCGCGAGGAGTAAGGTCCAGGACGGTAGGGAGCCGTCTGGGAAGAAGTGGTCAGTCTTCCCAGAGATCTGAGCTCTTGTACCAACTTCTCTGCTAGGCACATAGCGGGGCTCTTAGGGGCTGCTTTTGGTTTGGTATTAGACTCTCCGACCTTTTCTGCCTCCGCGCCCTTCCCCATGCACTAAGTATCTTCGAGAACGGACTCTTGGACCAGATTCTGAACTTGACATGCTCCGACTTCAGTCCTGTGTCTGAGGTTCAGTTGTGGCTGCTTTAGCATTTCTCTGTGGTGCTAAGATTAAAATGGAACGTGCGCCCTTAAAAAAAAAAAACGTGCTTTCTTATTCACTTAGTCTGTGTCTCAGTTTTGCACATTTGTAATACGGGGTACTTGCCTTGTTGGGTTGTTACACGGAGATCATTCATATAGCACTAGAAGAATGCCTTCTCTGTAATCAGCAATCAATAAATGTTAATGATCCATGTTGAAGGACCCTCGCCTCCTCCGTACACTTTCTAGGACAGGCAGTTCTTCACTGCAAGCATCTAGTGCTCATATTGTTTTAGTCTCCCCTTTAAGCCTTTAAATGTAAACTCTTGGAGTTTTTCTTCAAACAAGACTGGTTGTGCTGGTATGGACACGATAGAACTTATTTGCCTTTTTTTTAACTTATAATTAATTACAAGGCCACCTGCGCTGTGAATTTATTATCTAATATCTGAATCTGCAATTCACAGTTATTTTGGCTTTAATGGTAAATTCCTATGGAGAAAGTGACAATTATTTTTAAAAAACCAAACTCACTGCCACAGAGTCAATGGGGAATCAGAGCGACCCTGTAGGACAAGATAAAATTGGGCCTGTCAGTTTCCGAAACTGGAGCCCTTTAAGGGAGTAGAATGTCCCGAATTTAAAGAACAAAAGAAAGCAACCCCCCCCCCCCCTTGAAAAACTTAAAGCACAAATAGAAGTTGGGTTTTTTCCCCATTTATTTTTTATTTTAAATCATTTTATTGGGGGGCTCGTACAACTCTTATCACAATCCATCCATACATCCATTGTCTCAAGCACATTTGTACATATGTTGCCATCATCATTTTCAAAGCATTTTCTTTCTACTTGAGCCCTTCATTTCAGCTCCTCATTTTCCCCACTCCCTTCGCTCCCTCCCTCATGAACCCTTGATAATTTATAAATTATTATTATTTTTTCATGTCTTTACCCCCTTGTCTGTTGTCCATCCTCCTGGGAGGGGATTACAGATAGGTCATTGTGATCGGTTCCCCCTTTCTCCTTCCACCTAGCTCTTCCCTTCCTGGTATGGCTACTCTCAATATTGGTCCCAAGGAGTTTATCTGTCCTATATTCACCATGTTTTCAGCTCTTATCTGTACCTATTTACATGCTCTGGTCTAGCCCGATTTGTTAGGTAGAATTAAGGTCATGATAGTGGGGTGGGTAGGAAGCATTAAAGAACCAGAGGAAAGCTGTATGTTTCATCAGCGCTACACTGCACCCTGACTGACCAGTCTTCTCCCCACGATCCTTCTGTAAGGAGATGTCCAATTGCTTACAGATTGACTTTGGGCCTCCACTCCACACTCCTCCCCCTCATTCACATTATGATTTTTCACTCTGGGTCCTTGATACTTGATACCTGATTCTATCAATACCTCCTGATCACACAGGTTGGTGTGCTTCTTCCATGTGGACTTTGTTGTTTCTCAGCTAGGTGGCCACTTGTTTATCTTTAAGCCTTTAAGACCCCAGATGCTATATCTTTTGATAGCCGGGGACCTGTCAACTTGCTTCACTACATATGCTTATGTACCCGCTTTGTCTTCAGCGATTGTGTCCGGAAGGTAAGCATCTCAGAGTGCCGGATTATCTCAGAGTGCCAGATTATTAGAACCATGTTCTTGTGTTGAGGAAGTACTTGAGTAGAGACCCATGTCCATCTGCTTAATACTAAACCTATAAATATATGTACAGAACTCTAGGGGAGGCGGGGGAAAGGAAGTGGGTGTTAACAAACCCAGGGACAAGGGAACAATAAGTGACCGAAAATTGATGGCGAGGAGGGTGTAGGAGGTCTGGTAGGGTTTGATCATGGGCAATGTAACTGAGAGGAATTACTGAAACCCAAATGAAGGCTTAACATGATAGTGGGACAGGAGGAAAGAAAAAGGAAATAGAGGAAAGAACTAGGATGCAAAGGGCATTTATAGAGAGCTACATACAGGTATGTACATATGTAAATATATTTATAAATAGAAGTTTTGTTTATTTCTTGTATGCCTCATATCTGCCCCTCCCCCCACACTAAGATTGAAAGACCTGCAAACTCTCCCCGCAGGCAAGTAGGGCTGACTCTAGGGGCAATCAAAGGCAATTCAACAGATGTGTCTTTAAAATCCATAACTTGGCGACTTTGAGACCTTCAGAATACTAGCTCGTTTTCTTTTTTTTTCTAAGTGTGATTCCCTTTTTGGACACTTTGTCACTTGTAGTAATTACTGTAATATATTTAGAATTAGACATTCAATTCTGCTATCAACTTTTTGTATATTCTTACTTCCAAGGGAGATTAGGGGTTTTGTCTGTGTGTGTGGTGTGTTTAATTTTTTTTATGAGTGTATTTAATATGTGCTTAGAGTAGTTTGTACAGATATGTTAAATTCTGTGCTTGCATTGATGTCCAGAAGCTAAAAGGTGCTTTTGGCTACATTAAATATACCTGTGTGGTTACAGTAAAGTTTTATATAATAGTGACTTAAAGCAGAGTGTTTATACACGTGCACACACACGTACACCTAAACCCCTTTTCAAGTAAAAATAGTTCACTAAAATTTTTTAAAATTTATCTTTAGTGTAGTATGTCCTTTAATAATGATATTTCTCTGTAGTGGTAATGAGTTTTATATTCTAAATATAACCCCTCCCTTCTGACCCAGAGGAGAGTGGACTGCCAGTTGAGGTGAGCATGTTGTCATTCAGATTGCAAAATTAGATGAAATGTAACTTGTCCAAATGTGAAACTGCTCTCATGACCAATTATAAACCGGGAGCGGGAACTTCCTGGGATATCCATTTTCTTTCTCTTAAAGTTAAGTAACCTGCACACCTTGTTTAACATTTCCAAGAAACGGATGAACGGAGCTGTATTGGAATGGGAGTCAGGTCACTATGGAATTTAACAGCCCGGTGACCCTGGACAGATCATGTAAAATAGGTGCTTTCTAGTCTCCTATTGCTTTCCTTGCTACTTTCATTGCAGGCCCTGTTAAGGGCAAATGAGAAAGTAGGAGGTTGAACTTTGTCCGTGAAGAGAACATAAAGCAGAGTTTTAAGGTTGCACTAATGGATATTTTTATGCTTACCAAGCAGCTCGTCCGTGTCACATTAATTGACTCACGCACACTTTTCCCTTTTTGTGCCATCCTTTATCCCACTTCTCCGTGCTTCCTGCCGCCATGCCTCCTTTCCTAACCCTCCTCCTGAACTTTGTCCTTGGGTCAGTGCTACACTTTTGATCTTAAATGGCTGATTAGGTGGGGGGGAAGGAAAATGAGCGGATTCCGGGAACCCAAGAGGCAAGAGAATTTTGGGAATGATGAGGGCAACAAATGTATAGATGTGCTTTACACAATTGATCTATGTATTGTGATGAATTGTATGAGCCCCAATAAATTGATTAATTAAAAAAATAATAATAAAATAAATGGCTGATTATTCTAGAACTAGATCGTGCATCCCTCGTTAACGTTCAGACCTGTACCTGTTGGTGGAGATGCCCCTATTGTTCATCCCTCACTTGTTCAGATATATCTCTCTGCATCAATTTGTAGATCACAGGTATTGCAGGATTGTGGCAATAACAGCAGTTTCATCTGTTGCCTTTAATTCTTTGCCAGCCACCCTTTTATTGTTTTCTTCTTTGCCCAAGTTAATTGTCTACCTTTTAGTCCGTGAAGTAGAGGGGCAGTGAAAATTACAAAACATTATTATAAGAGAGCTATTGGGGGAAAAAAGAAAAAGAAAGCAGTCCCATCTTCATTAATTGGAAAACAATGTAGTGAAAATGTGAGTTCTACCTAAAGCAATCTACAGAGACATTGTAATTTCAGTATACATCTCAATAGCATTCTTTACTGAAATGGAGAAACAAATGGCCCAAATCCATGTGAATAGGATCAAGAAGCCCTGAATAGCCAAAGGAGTTATTGAGGCAAATGAACCAAGGACCCCCGGGGAAAAAGAGCAAAGCAGAAGGCCTTGTGCTCCCTGATATCAGAACATGCTTTGTAGCCACTGGAATGGAAACCACCTGCTATTGGTTCACCAATGGAAATGTAGATTAGTGGGGTAGGATTGAGAGCCCAGGATTAAACCCAGCCTTCTATGATTTTCTGACAAGGGGCCAAAGTGGGTTAGTGGGGGTAATAATACATGGTGCTGGCAAAACTGGATATCCACCAGCAGAAAAATGAAACAAGATTCATACCTCATACAAAAACTAACTCGGTGGATCAGTGACTTAACTGTTCAACTTAAAACCATAAATCTCTGGAAGCAAATAGGGGGTAAACTAGGGAACTCAATCCTTTGTAAAATTAGATGAACAAATAATACAACAAATGCATGAATAGAAGAAAGGCAAACATTGATCAATGGTACCTCAGAAAACTTAAAAACCATTGCTCATCAAAGGACTTTATCAAAAGAGTAGACAACC